ATTGTAGTAATACGGTGGTAACGCTTATATTTCACCTTATTTAGGGAATAAATAATGCGTATTACTCTAGGTGGTTTGTTTCTAGGTTAAATCATTTGAAAATTCATGGGATAATTCACACTTGTTATACTCTTCACCATAGTATGGAGGAAATACTAAATGTGTCATTCCGTTTGTAACACCTCGAAATATACATTTTAGACACCACAAAGCATGTATATTCTTGATCAGCATAAAATGTCGGTTTAGCGATGTCCGCCCGTCTGTCCGTCTGTGGAAATCACTCTAGCTTCCCAACGAAATGAAGTATGTTGATAACATTTTACTCAAATGTGTATTATGTCAGCAGGACTTTTGGTATTAAAAATGGGTCATTTAGGTCCACGTTTTGGTATAGCCCCCAAATAATGGTACCTCCCATTTTCGGTATTTTGGTGATTTAAGCGACATTATTCACCGGAAATATTTGAAATTTTGTATTTGAAGCTTGTAATGGGTACAACAGCCTATGACAGAAAATTGTCTGTGCAGGTCCACGTCTTCGTATAGCTCCCATATAACGGTACCACCCGATATTCGATATTTTAATGTTTTAATCGACATTATTCTTCGGAATTGTTTCAAATTTGGCATTTAAAGTTCGTGCAGGTCCACGTATTCATATAACCCCCATATAATGATACTCCCGATATTCGGTACTTTGATGATTTTAGCGACATTATTCACCGAAATTGTTTCAAATTTGGTGTTTGAAGTTCGTAATGGTTACTACAGCCTATGACAGAAACTTGTCTGTGCAGGTCCAAGTCTTCGTTAGCCCCAATATAACGGTACCTCCCGATATTCGGTATTTTGATCACTTAAGCTACTTAAGTTTCGCATTTTTATATTGTAATCGTTCCAAATGGTGGAGGGTATTCAAAGATCGGCCAGCTAAACAAAAAATAAAAAAGAAATCAATAAAATACATATATCATTATTTTGCTAACACTTTTAGTGTCCTTCAAAGCGACGGAGGCAAGTTTTGGGTCAATATATACAAGGGCCTAGTTGTTTTAAGAATTTTTTAAAACAGATGTAATTACAATGTGACGAAATGTATTCAGGACAACATAAAGGCTTAAATATTTCATAGGGGTGTTTGGCGTATAATGGACTGATTTGTCCTTAGCTAAATCACAAAGCTTTTTTCTGATAGAATATCTCTACTCCAGACGACTTTATCATACAAAATATTGAAATTATGAACCCAAAGTTCACGGATTCTTTACAAAGATAAGAAATATTACAATGCCTAAAACAATTTTTCATTAAAACATCAGTAATATAACAAATGACCATCAATATCCCATGTTGCATTTCTTATCAGTAAGTTTAAAGTGACAAGACTCCAACTTCCAGTTTGGTGCCTTCAGTTGGACCATTTTCAATATACTTACTACTTCATCGTATATATGAATTGATTTCGAGTCTCACACGAATACAGGAAGAAGTCATTAGACTTCCATTACGTCTGGAAACAGATGTACCCCACAAAATATTCACCGAATAATATCCTTAATTTAATGTCCAACTGATAATTATATTTATTCCAAATTCCATATTTGGGAGTAAAATTAACTTGACAATATTATGAAAGTAAGGATATATTTTGAAGATCTTATTTTCCAATTTTCATTTTTAAATATTGTTATATATTAACTTTGTTTATAACTAACACATTTGTCATACATAGGTAAAATTCGGAATTAGTTTTGCTCTCTTCAATTATTGAAAAACATATGAAATGAGAACTTCCTTTCGATGTTCATATATTCAACATTATATTTATATAAATCAGATAATTCTTGGAATTCTTCAAATTCATCTGACACTAAAATCAAATTTCAAAAATCTTAATTGAAGTTTTAACAGTTATTTAATCAATTTTGTTTTGTTCCACAATATATTAAGTCAAATTCCAAAAATATTTGATCTGAACCCGCCAGAAACTACTGACTACACTTTATTTTTTTTTTTTTTAAGTTACTTTAAATGTCCAGAACTTCCCAATTGAAAAAAATAATAATATATTCTGAACTTCAGACAGAATTTGCCAATGTTAAGTACACTCCTGTTAACTACATTAACAAATAGTCTTGTATAATATTAAAAAAAAGATACAAAAAACATCGAAATTCTACTTTGCTAAAAAATCATGAAAATTAAACAACATTGAACATGACAACTGGAGAATCGAGTATACATAAATCTTCTTTGTAGCCTTATGTACTTGTAAAATTCCTTTTAACGATTAAGTTTATAAAGAATGAAATCTGTTTATGTTTGCTTCTCATTTGCCTTTGACGCAGTCCTTTGACAAATTTCATAGTGTCTAAATAAAGTCTGTGTATAATAAACATAAATTATTATTTTCATAAAGCTAAAGAATAATTAATTTAAAATTTTGTAGCTAATATTTAGAAAACTAATAAGTAGCAACTTTTTAAAATAAAAAAATTATAAAAATAATAATTAAAAATACAAATACAAATTATTTTTTAAACATTTTCTAAATCTCTAACTCAAAATTTTTTATAATTATTTCTGAAAAGTATTCTAGATCATTAAAATATTTACATATCTCGAATATGGTATTGGAAAAATTCGTACGGGGGAACTATTAGATGTCACCGGTATCGCAAAAAATGATGTGACGTTGAAAACATTCTTGTAATAAAGCAGACAAACCAACAAAAACTTTAAAAGATAATATATATATATGCATCTTCTACGAAATACTTTATATGAAATGTATCTGGAAATAATCTTATTTCTCATCAAAATTTTGCTCCTAAATCTTTTAAATTTGAAAAAATCTGGAATTGTCTATTTCTTTTTCGGTATATGAAATGCGTAGTGCTAAATATCCACATAAGATACTTTCCGAAAAAGTCAAATAATTAATTAATTAAGTTTTAAAGACGTGAACCTTCTCCACTTTCTGTTATACTCACATATCATATTTATTAATTTATTTCGTTTAAATATGATACATTAAACAATCTGTATATTTTTCAAAAGTAATCTGCAAAATATTTTGCAGCCATTTGAGTTCGTGTTGTATTGTCTTCCTTTCCTTATAACATCATTATATCTATCGATACGTTTCTTTATAATATCTGCGACAAATACAATATCAGTATATGCTGTGATTTCATATTTCACGTCCAAATATTTTAAATCCATAGATTACTAATAGAGATTTAGGTATGTGTAAAATAATTTAAACGTTTTTGTCAAACAAAATACTTGTCAACACTTTTTCAACGGGCCAAATCCAAAAAGCTTTGTTGTTCCAATAAACTCCATAATACACCATAATTTTCTTCTTGTGATTATCTTAAATACGTCAATATGATAATTCCAACATTATGACAATCAATTTTCAACTTGTGGCTTTTCGAGACATTTTTAAGTCACACTACTTTAAGACATTTTTAACATTGAAATTTTCTTCGTGGCTCTAAAAATAGACTAAATGTGGTCCGTCAACATGCACATAATAGAGTTGTCGTCCGCTTACTCAAATTTCAATAAGAAGAAGAAAACAACTATGTGAATGACAAATTTATTAAAAAGAATTTCGAAGATTTGACCCCGAACAACCAGACAAATTCTTTTCATTGAGCTAGTGGCCAGCCTATTCGAAATCTCATTGAGCAAAAGATCAACAAACAATAAGTAACCACAATGGGCACACCGACAGTGTACGTGTGTTGAGATAAATTCGAAATTCACAAACATGTTCTCCCAGTCACTAACTCTCAATGGTTTTCATTGTGAGAGCACATCTTGCCCTCTTGTTGCATGCATGAATTAGGGAAGAAACGTGTTTTTCGAACTTCGGCTTCTCTCAGCGGAAATTCCTTCTCCCATGTTCGATTAGAGCGGAAGAAGAATAAAACAAATGGCCACCCTTCAGTTGGGTGCGAGTGTAAAGAAATGAGAGAGATTGATGTATGCTTGTTTGCCATTGGCCCATTAAGTGGGCTGTTGCCTTTGCTTGGTGTTTTTTTATGACTGTTGCCTATCTTTTCTGTTACATGGCGTTTTATGGGGATTGCTACCAGTGCTCGAACTAAAAAATGTAAATTGGAATGAAGCTTAATGTCTGTTTAATAGGGAGATACAATAAAAATGAGCGTTTGCGTAGTTGTTGTATATTTCCCTGACTGAGAATGGGCCCCGATATGTGTGAGTAGGATAGTATGTTATTGTTGTTGGTTTTGTTGCTTGTAGCCGTTGTTGTGTTTATTTTTTTATTATTGATGCTCTGATATTTTTGATTTGAATTATAACCAAATAGTCAAAGTGAAACATTGGCGCTTTGAGCACGTCCACGCGGGTAAAACAAAGCACAACAAAACCACCAACAACAAACAAACACCTTACATTTACAAAAAAGTAATAAATTATTTTTATTTTTTATTCCTTGGTGTTCTTCTTCTATCGCACGATTGCAATAAAACATAACAACAATTAATAATAAATAAAAATATAAACAAATACCTACCAACCTATATGGAAAAAATATTATGAAATAAAAAAATTTTTGTTACTTACCAATAAACAGTGAATGGGCATTTTTTAAACAAACAAATTTGATTAATACCTATCACAAAAAAAGTGATAAATTATTTTGTGAGGAAATTTTGAAAAGTCAACGGGAGTAATCTGCTGCTCGCTCGTATCTAGACATTATAATCATCATGCTAATGCGGTGGATTGTTAACAAAGTGTTTTAGTGGTTCATTATTGATGGCGATTAAAATGAATTTTCTCGCTGATGAGTGATCATAAATCTACCATGAAATCTTTGAGGGCATGCTGTTGATAATGATAATGATTTATAGACACACAGGGAAATTATAGAACAACATCAACTGCAAATTAAGCTAAAAAGAAACAGAAATACAATTAACAAAGTGATAATAAATTCAGTGATTTATTAAACAAATACAACGCAAGAAAAACTCATGGCCACAGTTATTCTATCTGGCTGACAGGTAGCAAAGGGTCAAGTGTCCCTGATATCTCTGCACCGGAAGATCGCCTTAGCTAATGTTAATCCAATACACGAAAATTAAACCCCTTAAAAGTCAAGGATTAAGTGAAAAGCAAGTGTAAACCTAAAGGGATAAACTGCAATAAAATTTTCAAAAGTCATTATCTTTTGTGTGCTATTGACATTATGACAGATCAACAAAGGGCAGTGAGATTAAAATCTAAATTGCAAAAACAATAAACATAATAAATAACACTAGACACCATACGAGCACCACCAACAACACAAAGTAATTGTAGCAAAAGTGTAAAACTTGTCATCGTCGTTATTATTGGCAAAAATTTATGACTTTCCTGTGGACTTTAAACCAGAGCACAGACTAAATTGCAACAGCAACAATAAACAACGTTTAAAATCACCACCACAACCACTACCAACACATTTTAAATTCCAATTCTATTCTAAACGGCACAAACACACACGCAATAATTGCCGGCATTGAATGCAGTTTTCAACTCTTGCACACACATACACCGATATGTATTCGCTTCTCGAAAGGGCACAATAAACTCTTTTTTCACCTATTTTCAACTCTATGATGATAGTCGATTCAAGACTTTAAGACCTCAGCCTAGTGGAAAATCCAAACGTCTCAACAAAACCAAACATCATCTGTTCATGTGCGTATCGATCGCTGTTCTACGAAGCAAACAAAATAACGTCGGCAATTTTATCTGTGTCGATCATCGGTCTTATGGCCTTTTTTTAATTCGTATTTTTCGGACATTTGTTGAGAATTGAAAAACCACCGGTTTTATATCAAAATTCGTATACAATTTTTAGAAAGAAAGAGAGAAAGGAAGAGAACAAGTAACAAACATTTGTGTGAAAATACAACCTGCCGTCGCAAGAGTCATCATTGTTTTTGTTTGTTTCCCCCCGTTGCCATTGTGTTAATTGATTTATGGCCTGGAAACCCATGGAAAGTCAAAGACATGGACAAATGTAATATTAGCGACAGGTTTTGTGAAATTCTATAACAATGTTGTGGACCATCAATGCGGGAATTAAAAATTTATTATAGCACTTGAGTGGTGATTTTTCGTTTTAGAAAAATGAAATTAATGTCTGCTGCAATTGAAACGAAATACAACATACTTATTTGTTAGTGCAAAAAAGAAAATATTATTAAAAACTTCAAAGCGAAACACGAATAACCACACATTCCTTGAACAAAAAAAAAGTATTAAACATTAAAAACAAAAAAAGGAAACATCAATATATTTTAATATCATCGTTAAAGTTGGATATTTACGGAGAATCATCTTGAATTGGTAAGTTTGTGAAAAAAAAAAAACGAGAAAAAATTAAATTTGAGATTAGAAAATTAAGAAATTAATTAATATACGGAAAAAGTGCGGAAAAAGTCATAAGAATCATTTCTAATACATTTCACCCATCATAGCCATATTTAAGAAATACAAATCAATCGATACCTCTCCTGATTCCAACAAAAATTCTTTCGAACCTATCAATAAATATTAAATTCAATTAGTGGGAAATACCACGTTAAAAATACGAAACCTTTTTTTTAACGGGATTTGATTAGATTTATCTTAACTAAATGATCGGTATCCTTTCCAGTAACATCGCTTCAAGATTTCAATTTTTTTGTACAATAATATTATCTGTGAAAGTAAATGTCAATAAATGTAAATTTTTCGTCCAACGGGTGCGTTAAAATTTGGAGTTCAGCAGTTGTCAAAAATGGAAAATAACCATATTTCTTTTTCTCAAAAAATATCCACTATAGCATTTTTCAGAAAAAATCCTAAACTTGATATCAAACTACACATAGTTTGGACAACGTTGGTCCTCCCTAGTTCCCCATTTCCGATTAGTTTTACACATATTCTAAAATATTTACTTTTTCATTCTTAATATTTTCTCTCAGGGTGTAAAAATTATCTGAAAGTATGGAAAATTTCTACTAAATAACTCAATATTTGAAAAATTAGTTTCAATGCGCTAATTAAAAATTCGAAAATGAAAATTTTAAGAGTAATTTTTTTAGTAAAAAATGGATCTGGAATATTCTTATAATAGTAATATATTGTCACTAATAAACGACAAAGTACTTCCAAAAATTTAGCATTTTTATTGCAGATAGTTAATCTAATTTCAATTAAAAATTAAATTTTTCAATTAAATATTCAAATCAAAATATATCCTAGCCTGGGAAGTTTAAAATGCTATAGCACAATTATTTCAAATATTCAAAATATTTCATTAGTTTTTGAAGGCAAAATATGTATGTTAATACAATTTTACCGATATTATGGTATTTTTTAGAAAACCACATGATACATATTTAAATTCGGTTGGAACTCTTTTACCAGTTCATTTAGTTCAAAAGTTCTAATGATACCCCCAAAACAGTTACCGTTCAAAAAAAAATTGCAAAGATTCAACTAATTGAAACCATGAAAAGTTGGATTACAGCCTTAGTCGAGTTGTAAAAAACGTAAACCAAAAATGCCTTTATCAGATTATTTCAAGATCCATCGTAAATTAACTTTAAATGTTACCCTAATGTTATATATCAAGTCGAATCAATATTCTTTTTATGGCTTTCAGCATTATAGCAAATTAGTATTCATCGTGGGTTAAACACATTTAGCGCATTTATAAAATCTTAAAATCAATGGCAAATATTTTTTATATCCTACACTTTCAAAAGGCAGGTATATTAACATTGTCATTCCGTTTGTAACAGAAATAATCGTCGTAGACGCCATAAAGTATATATATTCATATTCGGCATAAAATTCTAAGTCAATTTAACGATGTCCGTCCGTTTTGTTTGTCTGTTGAAATCACAGAAAATTGGCAGAGCAATTTGCATTGTGCCTAGGATGGTTGGTATTAAAAATGAGATATAGGTATATAGCCTCCATATAACGGTACCTGCGGATATTCGGTATTTTGATGGTTTTTGCCATATTTTGCTAAAGATTTGTCTAAAAATTGGTATTTGTAGTTCATTTGGTATAGCCCCCATATGACGGCACCTTCCGATATTCGGTATTTTGATGATTTTCCCATATTATTCCCCGGATTTGTCCAAAAATTGGTATCTGTAGTTCGTAATGAGTTCTAACCCCTGTGGCGGAACATAGTTTGGTATAGCCCCCACATAATGGCATCTCTGGATATTCGGTATTTTGATGATTTTTGTCTAAAAATTGGTATTTGTAGTTCATAATGTGTTGGCGCAGAACATTGACAATTTAGGCCCACGTTTTCCTAAAGCGCATATATAACGATACCGAACGTTACTAGGTATTTTGATAATCCTAGTCACATTTAACCACGAAATTATTTCAAATTTAGTATTTAAGAAGGCCCTTGAAGTATATAATTGTCTCTACAGGTTCCCGTTTCGGTATGGCCCCTATACAACGGCCTCACCCACTGTATGGTTTTTTTGACAAGTTTAATAGCGTTATCCAAACAGTCTTACTGGTATTTGTACTTTAAAGCGGAACACGCTTGAATTCATATACTTTTGTATAAAATGTTCCCTTTACCCAATGGTGGAGGCCTTTCCGAACTTAATGTTTTTTTTACTTGTTAATTATTTTTATGTTCCTTAAACGTCGTTGGATATTGTCTTTAATTATTACCTAAGGGTTTGATGTTAATATTCACATCAATTTCTTCCGATAATACAAATTACCCAAATTTTATACTGGTTTAAATGTCCAATAAAATATCTCCACATATCTAGTCCTCCAAATTCGTTTAACTTTAGTGTTGTCTATAAAATTTCCTCCCCTCCCACCTTTGTCACTCTGGAAATTACAATCATTTCCAAAGCTTAAATATTAGTAAGTCACGGTCCCTCCCTCCACTAAATGCTAACAATTGCTTGGCCTTTCCTGCCAAACCACATATTGTTTGACTATTTAACAACCAATATATCATGTCTTGTGTCATGGAACCTTTCAACCAAATTGTTAAATACATTTATGATTTTGTTTTCTTTTATAACAGAGTCCTTTTTATGATTGGCTTGAATTCGTTGTATTTTTTTCATATTTATTTTTTGGCATATGAAAAAGGCAAGAAAACCATTTATTTTATTTATTACCATGTTTTTTTTTGTTCCCCAATGGAACAACCAAACAACAACTGAGACCCCTCCTAAACATAATGAAAAGTAACAAATATTATTCTCAATATATAATATTTTAACTTTACATATTCACAAGCTAGAAAAGCCCAGTAGCAAATTGCAGTAACATTTATTTTGTTTTGGAGACCTCAAACGAAAAAAAAAGAAAACCATTTCAATAGGGAAAAATAAAAACACGCAAGCTAGAATAAAAATGAAAAACATTATTGCACGAGTTCCACGAGACTCTTCATATTCTTAAGATGGCGTTTTAATATATTCATATTTTATACAACAACAAAATTCAAGTATGAAAACAATAACAACAATAAGGAAAAACATGTGAAACAAAAGCCAAAGGAAAAACGCGTAAACTTAGTTCTCTTTACAGGCACAAATCACTCAGTTTGCCAGGCATCTAGTCAGTCAGTCAGTATGACTGTCTGTCTCTTGTGGTGTAGGTACAATAAGTGCCGGCCTACATTTATTTAACTGTCAAATGTGTGTATACACTTTGTCTCTTTTTTTTCTTTGGAGTAAAAAATAAATTACTATGAGCACAATAGCTTAAACAGCAAAAACAACAAAATTTGCCAAAGCTTCAAAATAACACCAACACCAACTGCAAATGTAAAAAAAAAACAAGAAAACGCGATTGTGGTGTCTCGTAGCCATGCCATGAAAATTGGTTCCAATCTTCCTTACATTTACATAGGAATGTATATCTATGTGTGTTTATAAGTTTTTAATTTTGTTAAATTGTTTTTTTTCTGTAGCCACTAGAATATTTTGACCTTCATATTTATTCTAAATAAATAATTTTGTTTTACAAAAAAATTAGATAAGATGGAAATTATTAAATTAAAATTGTAAAGGGATGTTTTAGTTGAACAACTTATATGGGAAATAGACTTAATGCCTTTTAAATGGTCAGAAATGAATAATAAATTTTGAATTTAACAAGTTGAATATTATTATAGTAAATTATTATAGTAAATATAAGAATAAGCTAGGAAAATGGTGATTTCATAGCTTGGAAATATTCTCATCTGTACTTAACACTTATTCTGTATAAAAAAAGAATTATGAAATTGTTCCAAATTTGCCAAAAAATAAAATATAAAAATTAGTAACCAAATACTAAGGGGAATTCTTAATTTCAATTTCCTGGCCTCAACTGAAAGGCTATACTATTATGACGTTTTAATATTTTACATCCAAAAATTTACAAGTTATAGAGAATTTAAAGCCCTTTGGATAATTTTAACTTATCAATACTACCCAAATTTCTTTTCTACTTAAAAAATGATTAACATGCTTCTAATCTCAATAATTCCGTATCATTAATGTCACTGTCTATCGATATAGTAGTTTTGTAAGAAATTATTTTCGCCAAATTTAGAAGATTTCGTTGAATAGTTTTGAATTTATATGGTTCTATGTCTGTTATTTAAAAATAATTACCGTTTGAGAGGAAGATGCCAAACCAACATTTCCGTATTACCTTCAGTAAACTGAATTATATAAATGTATGAAAAATATGAAAACATTTTTTTGAATTATGAGACATATTTTGAATACTTGAATACTTCAATGCCATGTGGACTCTTGGACCATAAGGTCGACGTAAAACCAATTTTATTATTATTTAGGTGTCTCTAATATTCGATTATATACTTATATAGTCGGGGTTTCATTAGGAAGAATCAATTCTCGACAATTATAAGTTTAACTATTGTACTGAATGATACGCCGCTTTGGAACCTAGGGGGTTTACAACAGTAAATCGGCTTTATAACTAATTTAAAGAATAAAATAGGGATTGTTGTTATGTGACTTTACTTTTATTGTATGTTTTGCAAGGGTTTTTAAGGTTTTATAGTCTTAATAGATATTATGACACTTGTTTATAAGGGAATATTCTAACAATTAAGATTTCAAAATATTAAATAACAGACACTTCAGATTCAGAGAATAAGGCTAGGGGCTACAGAACAAACAAAAAATCGGCACGTCCCTTTACATTGGTACATGGGATGTCAAACAGTGGACCAACATTGAATATTTCCCAAAATTTCTTGAGTTTTAGCTTGCTAATATGAGGATCACATTTTTAAGATTTTATTTTCATTTCTCTTTTTAGACGACCTTTTTTAT